GAGTTTGAAAACCAAAAGGGAAGAACATGCTCAGCATTTCTCAATCTGAAGTAACTGAAGAAAAAATGGAAGCTTCGACTTGCACTATTGAAGGATTCTATGGGCCAAATTCTTTGGAAACCCTATACAGTCAGAATTGACTCGATTGCAACAACATGTGTAAATTTTAAATGATTCAGAAAGCATCAAAAGAATATGCAAGGAATACACAGAGTTACTGTACTAAAAAGAAATGGTTGATGTTCAACCATTTGAAGAGAGTCAATGGTACTGAAGGAAGAAGTCCAAGGTGCACTGAAGGCACTGGCAAAGAACTGATGGAACACAACCTGAAACCTTTCAACAAACAGATGCAGCACTGGAGACACTCACTCATCTATGCCAAGAAATCTGGATGACAACTACCTAGCCAACTGATTGGAAGGGGTCCCTATTTATTCCCATCTTAAAGAGGTGAGCCAATGGAATGCGGAAGTCATTGAATATCATTAATATCACCTGCGAGTAAAATGTTAAGATAATTCCCCAACAGCTGCAATAGTACTTTGACAGGGAACTGCCAGAGGGTCAAGATGGATTCAGACAAGGACATGGAAAGAGGATCTCATTGCTGACATCAGATGGATCTTGGCTGAAATCAGAGAATACCAGAAAGATGTTTACCCGTGCTTTACTGATTATGCAAAGGCTTTGACTATGTAGACCATGACAAGGTATGATCCATTAGTATTCTGGAGCACTTCAATACACTCATGAGGAACTTGTACAATGACCATGAGGTAGCTGTTCGAACAGAACAGGGGAACACTGAGTCATTTAAAATTGGGAAAGGTGGGTACCAGTGTTGTATTCTTTCACCATACTTACTCACCATTCTCCAGGGAGATAGCAGAATGAATTATGGGAAGAAATAAAGCCTCCATGGAAAGAACACTGTGTGGTCAACAGCGCTTCTGTACCCTCACCACAGTGGCTTTAGCCAGGTCTGAAGAGACTTTAAAAGTTGAGGTTAAGAACAAAAGCAATGGTCAGTTTCAGTCCTAATACAGGGGCTGAGGGGGAGGAACTAAAAGGAAGATCCACCCAAGAGGATCAATCAGTCAGTACAGAAAGTAATAATTCTGTAAGTGTGAAGGTCCATCCCTCTTCATAGAGGAAACCATTAATTATGTCCTGAACTCACCCAATCACCCAATGTGTGGCAGGTATGCCATCTTTCAAAAATCTCAGAGACTTTTTTTTGGGTCTAATATGAATCATTACTTGGCACCATCATTACCGTGCCTAAATAACATTTCACAAATAAAATCCTAGCCTTAATTTTGTTTACGAGCATGTTCATATTTTTTTACACTGATCTAAGGAGCTCTGGTAGCGTAGTGGTTATGAATCGGGCTGTTACCCTCACAGCCAGGAGTTGGAAACTACCAGCTGTTCCATGGGAGAAAGATGAGGCTTTCTGCTTCAGTAAAGATTTACAGCCTTGGAAACCCTGTACAGGGTCGCTATGAGTTGGAACCGACTCCACGGCACCTAACAACAACAACAACAACAAATGATGGTATGGAGTCCTAGTGTGATGCTGTGGGTTAATGTGCCAGACTGCAAAGCCATTTGAACTGCAAGGCTGGCAGTTCAAGCTCACCAGCTGCTCCTCAGAAACCCTATGCAGGGATGCTATGGGTCGGAAGCGACTCGATGGCACTTAACAACAACGATGGTACAGATCCATTCGGATGGACTGGCTAAGCCATCATTCTATAGTCTAACTTGTGGAACAATCAAGGGAGGAAGAGCCCAGACTGAGAAGATGACAGCTACAGCAGGACAGAAACCTACCTGGGTTTCTCAGGCTCCTTCTTACTGATGCTTCTGGAAGATTTGTCCCTTTCAGCATCCGTGTCTGGCTCAGATCCGCTGCTGCTCGACTGCCCACGCTTCCTCCTGGTTTTCTTGTGGTGCTGACGTTTCCTTTTTTTCTTTTTGTCTTTCTTCTTTTTTCTGCTTGTTGGTCTCAGTTGTTTGTTATTGTCACTGTCATCTGAAGGCTCTGATTTCAAAGGACTCCTGTTGAGGAAAATCAATGTTGGAATTGTTTTCAAAGAGGTAGGGAAGACAGTATAAGTGAAAAATAAGTAACCATCAGTGTGCCCGATGACTTCCTACTTATCCATGGAGTCTCCAAGACCTTCCTAGATCGTAATTCACCTTACAAGCTTACAGCTGAGCCTCAAATACGAACAAGTGAAGAAATTCTAACTGGAAGAGTTAATTTACACCTCCAATCTCAAATCTCTGCCTCTTACTGAAAATAATCTATCAATTATTTTAGAGTATTTTAAAATATTTTATTTTTAAAGATAGTATTTGTAAATGCAACGTTGTAAAAGATTGATTTCCAGTCTCACATTAATATGAGCCAACAGATCTTTCATGAAAACAAAACAAAAATTGTTTTTTTTTTTAAAAAATAAAGGGTTAAAACGAGCTCTTCTTCTTCATTACGGAAACATCTACAAATAACTCCCTCGCCTTACGCTTTTGAGCATAACCAGGTTGGTTCATCATACTAATGAGACTATCAGGCCCAGGTCTGTGAGAGAGCTCATTTCTCAACTCAGTGAACTCAAACAAAATCCTTGCAAAGCTGGGGAAGAGATGTGTGCCACTCTGCTTGTCCAAAAGTTTTCTTAACACTTTTAAGCCATACTGCATTTTACCAGCTCCTTTTAAGTTTTAGAAAAGTGTTGAAAACACCCCTCAGGACATAAGAGGGTTTCAAAAAGTTTGTGCAGAAATTCCATTATCTTTTCATTGTTTTCCCACGGACTTTTTGACGCCCCCTTGGATTATCCTGGTTGTGGTGGTTGTGTGCCGTGGAGTCGGTTCCCACTCATAGTGACCCTGCATAGAGTTTTGAGGCTGTTAATCTTTATGGGAACAGAAAGCCTCAGCTTTCTTCCACAGAACATCCTACAGGTTACTAATGAGGTCAGTGTGGTAAGTTGTTTAAGAATCACAAAGATGCCATTTCTCTCCTGGTCTGATTACTGGGTCGTGGACTTGCTATTTCAACGCAACGGGACAATCTCAAAAAAGGCACACTCTCAGGAATGGGGGTGGGGGAAATAACCAATAAAACATTAGTAAGTCAGAGGAAGAGCTTTACCCAGCTTTTCCATCAGTTTTCTAAGGAGCTTATACTTAAACTCTGCTACAGACGGTTCCCTGACAAAGACTAGAACCCCATTTGTCCCCAACCACCCTACCTTGTCAGTGGTGACCCTCTGGAATTGAAGGTGGGGACCGCTGCAGGCTGTTGGCTTGGGGGGGTTAGGGTTTGGACACAAAAGCTTGGGTTGCTCAGCCAGTCCAATTCTGTAAGAGAGAGAAAAGATCTATGAAATGTGCTCAACAGGAGTTCTACGGCAGGAGGTCCATCTTAGAGCTGACAGCCTCGAGCTCGGCCAGGGCCAGCAGGGCCTGGTGAACCGTCCGCAGGGCAAAGCACCTTGATATGCGGAAATGCTGAGATCAAGCTGCAGCTGAAGCACAAACCATTTAACAAGTCTGACCTGCAGCACGTGTAAAAGCTTCCAAAGCATTCGGCTTTAATGACCTCAGATTCAAAGCCAGATGTTTTCTGAAGAGTCAGAAAAGCAAATCATGCCTAAAAGCCCCATCGTGCCTAATGCGATTACAGAGGGTTAGGAGCCTAAAAGAAGAGAGTCCACTGCTCCATCTCAGTGTAGAAACATAACACAGACCTGCTCCTCTCTATAAATAAAACACACGGTGCCAGCATCAGCCTTCTGGGTAATAATCTGTGGGGTCCCGGGGTGCTGCAAGTGGCTGAGTGCTCAACTACTAGCCAAAAAGTTGGCAGTTCAAACCCACCCAGAGGTATCTCAGAAGAAAGGCCGGTCTATATGCTTCTGAAAAGTTAGCCTTGAAAACCCTGTGGAGCAGTTCTGTGTGCAGATGGGGATGCTATGAACTGGAGGTGTGATAGCAACTCACAACAACAACAAGGTGTTTGTATCATTTTAATGAAATGAAAGCAGGCATTTCACAGTGACAGGTTCTTTTACCTTGCATTAGCTTTCTTATTTACTTACTTATACCTACTGGATTCTCCCAGACCTTAGGAGGCTAGTTCATCAATTACTGGATCTACCTTCGTGCCCAATCAGATCGTGCAAGGTGCAAGCGCTCAGCATCTGCTGATTGCACGCACCCGGTGCTTGTGACTCTGCGGTCCAGCTCTGGTAGTGCAGAGGTTACCAGTCAGGCTGCCAACCTCAAGGTCAGCAGTTCGAAACTACCAGTGGTTCTGTGGGAGCAAGATGAGGCTTTCCGCTCCTGTAAAGATTTATAGCCTAGGAAAACCTATACAGGGTCGCTATGAGTCAGAACGGAGTCCATGGCACGTAACCCCCACTCTCACCCCCTCGCTGCCATCTGGTCGATTCTGACTCAGCGATGCGACAGGACAGAGTAAAACTGCTCCATAGGTCTCCCAGGCGGAACATCTTCACAGAAGCAGACAGAAATCCACAGAAGCTGTGTCTTTTCACTGTAGAGCAGCTAGTGGATTTCAACAGACAAACTTTTTTAGTAGCCCAATGCTTAACCCGCTGTGCCACGAGGGTTCTTTATTTAAGTCACATATTCATCTACACATCTAATTACTCAATAACCATCTATTGCATTTCGGTTGTTGTAGAGTGCTGGCAAGTCGAGTCTGACCCATAGTGACCCCACATAATAGAGCAGACTTGCCTCAGAGGGTATCTGTCAGCTGTCACCCTATGGAATCAGATTGATAAGTCTTTCGCCCTGAGCTTCTGGGTGGGTTTGAACTACCAACCTTTCAGTCAGTGGCTGAGTGCTTAACTATTGTGCCACCAAGTCTCCTACTGAGTAAATACCAAGTGCCACCCAGAATGAAAAGGAGCCCTTGTTCCCATGGGCTCCCAGTCTTGTGAGTGGCGTCAAACTAATAAAACAGATACAATATGACCCCTGGAAGGTCTTCACAGGGGATGAAGCCAGGGTGGGAGATGTGAAGAGGGTTTTGGGGTGGGGGTGTGAGTGGGGAAGGCTTCCTGGAGAAAAGGACATTTGAGTTGGCTGAGCCGGAGGTGCTGGTGGGGGAGGGAACAGATGAACACGGATACAGACAGAGAAACACGTGGTTTGTTCAAGAGCTGAATAAACACAGAGCATGGGGAGACTACAGGAGGCAGCAAAGGAATTATCCAGAAGGTGACTGGTAATCAGAGAAAGGACTGGTGATATAGTACCTCCTGAAGGTGTGATCAGGAGGAGGAGCTGGTTTTATGAGGCACCTCTAGGCTTCAGTGAAGCTGTCCTGTGGGCAATGGTTCAGCCCATTAGGGAAAACCTGACAGGACTGAAACTCAAAGGGAACCTGCAAGCAATCTATCACATTCACTGGTGACCATCTGGGTCTACTTGTGAGTGCAAGTGAGGGGAAATGTATCAATGAAGACACTGGCTGAGTTTGGTCATGGTCTACTGACACCAGATGACCTTGAGATGAAAGAAAAAAGAGGAAGGCCTGGCTGGTCTGAAGTTCAGGGAGATGTGTGAACTCTCCAGGGGCTGAGAGTGGAGCGGCCAGCTGGTATGAAGTGTGTGAACTCCTAAACTTGCAGCTAGTACCCATTTGACCTAGCTTGGATGGTTAGCTGACCAGAACTCAAATCGAGGAAGATAAATATGTTTGATACTGACAGTAAAAGCAAATTGCTAAAATGTGATGAGCTGGATTTTTGTTTATGGGTGCAGTTGTTCTAAACTCCAATCGTATTGGAAGGATTCTTCATATCAAGGAGCAAGCTTGTCTCCTTGGTGTACGGAGTTGATAGGGACGGGCCACTTAGACATAGGCTATCAAAAGTGAGGGGGCTCTAAAGGCATGAAGTGGCTGCCTCACAAGTTTTCAATAATGTGCTTAGTTTCAGAATGAGTAGGGGAAGTTTGAATCCCCACTGAATAGTTTTCTTCTTTTCTAGATGGGCCTGGTGAATGGGGATGGAGAATGATGTTGATAGGATTTAATGACTCAATTGTGAGAAATTGTTAGCAGGACTGTGATTGTCACAACTGTAATTGTAGATAATGTGTAACTAAAGGGTGGGGGGAGTTAACCTTTCATTTCAGGAACAGACAATCCCAGGACTATCAAGAAAGAAAGGCAGGAGTGGAGGGTGAGATCCCTACCTAGAAAAGCAGCGACAGCAGAGACGGTGGCAGAGGTGGTGGCGTGGAGAGACAGAGCAGCTGTGGGCTCTAGGCCCATGGACTGAGTAAGGCTGTGTGCCTGCAGGCAGGAGGCTGGCTTACAGAATGTGCCCTTCGGCTATTTAAATGAATAGATACTTTTTGTTTTCTAAGTTCACGCCAAATATTTTGCTTTGTTCATTTGTGAAATATGTTGTACATGGGGAGCCACAGCAGGAAGTAGGATAACTTGTTGCAGGGAGGGGATTGTAATCATTGAAATGAAACAAATCATATAATTTGTTGAATGTAAAGTAGATGTGATCTTTTCTGTTAACCTTCACTCAATTCACAATAAAAAGTGTTTTTTAAAAAAAGTAAGTTAATAATTAAAATGAATGAGCTTCTTGAATCTCTGTGACCCCACTGAACATACTGAAGGATTTGAGATCTTTAAAAAGACGTCAGGCTCTTCTATCTAGAAAGTATAACACAAACCCACTGCCATCAAGTCAAGTCTGACTAACAGTGACCCTACAAGAGAGCAGAACTGCCCCAAAGGTTTCTGAGACTAAATCTTTACATAAACAAACAACCTCATCTTTCTCCCGAAGACGGCTGGTGGGTTTGAACCATCAAACTTTCAGTTAACAGCTGAGTTCTTTCACCACTGGGTCACTAGGGCTCCTGGTATAAAGTTATAATTCTATTCTTCCTTGTAAATGTATATTTAAACATAAAGAATACATGAGTATCTATTAGGTTCTGAGGGTGCAGAGATGAACCAGACAAGTGTGAGTTAAACTTACTCATAACCTTAATTGTTCAAATTACACATCTGGATTGCTAAATTTAAACTGTTAAACAGAAGCCTGGAGAAAGTTACCAGAGATTACAAGATACCTTAGTAATCAGATGGCAAAGTCCTTTTCTATATTTATTTACATCTTGACAGTAAAAGTGCCAGATAAAAATCAAATAGTATTTAGATCATTGTTAGCTATGGAGCAGGATGTAACATTACAGCGAAGCCCAGAAGGATACCAACTCCTAAAACAAAGGATAGGACTGACTGACCAACCTTTGGTCTCTACATGTTTCTGAATAAATCAATCGAAGGTTGAAACATGACTAGATATTAGCACCATGCATTACATTTTATTACACATAAACTAATCTAAGAAAGGAAGAAGGCTGAGACATGAGACAAAAAAACCACTTCAGAACTAACTGTGGCCAAACAGAAAAACAGCCAGGCATGAGAAAGAACAGAGACTACATTTGCAGCAGCCTTTAACAGAAAATTGTATTGCGAATCATCCCTACACATGTTCAGGTGAAAAGACTGCTTTTTGTGATACCTTTGTTACATAATTTTTTCCTATTAAAATGTTTTTAAAAAATTCCACTATGGGTGGATGAATTACGTCAAGTGACTTAGTTGTTGTTGAGGTGGTTCCAACTCACAGCGACCCTGTATAAGGTTTCCAAAGAGCAGCTGGTGGGTTTGAACTGCTGACCGGGTGGTTAGCAGTCCAGTGTTTATCCCACAGTGCCACACCAGGACTCCTCAAATGCCTTTAAAACATAATCATTTGACTGCACATCCCTTGTGAAATACGTCCTAAGAATGAAAAGGATCATAAGAAATGATGAACTATTAATAATATTGACACAGTTTGACGATATACATGATTTTGTTAATGGTACCAGGAACTGATATTTTCAGACAAAGGGAAAATAAATACATTAAATCAAAGAAGTTAAGTTTAAACCTCATAATAGTCCATATGAACTAGAACTATAAATATGAACTCATGATATATTTTTCTCTTCCTGGTTTTATCCACTGAAAATGTCTGAAAAGTAACGATGATAACCCAGAAGCAATCAGTAGACCTAGTACCCAGTTTGTGGTTTCAACCTCAGTGGGTTTACTTGTTTTGTTTTGAAAATACATTTCGTACTAAAAGGAACCAGCATTTCTTGGGGGAAATAAAACATTTCAGGTAGAGGCAAAGCATGGATGTCTTTTAGGCCACAAAGTATGGAAGGTATTAAAGACAACTGGGGTTGTATATTCACCAAATACAATGGAATATCTACTATATTCTGGTCCTGGTCTTGTGCTGGCATGTGGCAGTCCCTGACCTCAAAGAAGCTACAGGAAACTAACACTGCACTAATTACATGGAAAATTATTCACAACTGTTACGTCAGTGTTGCCCCAAAGGGAAGACCAGGAGCAAGCAGTTAGAGGATGTAACAGAGATGTCACACACAATTGGGCGCTGCCACACAAAGCGCAAAATTTAGGATTTTCTTTTGAAATGTCTATTTTCTTCTAGCTTACCGCTATGTGCCTCAGTTTGAAAAAACGCAGACATTAGGAATGTTTGCGGCTTAAATAACCTGTTGTTGTTATGTGCCGTGGAGTCGGTTCTGACCCATAGCGACCCTGTACAGGGTTTCCGAGGCTGTAAATCTTTACGGGAACAGAAAGCCTCATCTTTCTTCCACGGAACAGCTGGTAGTTTGGAACTGCTGACCTTACGTTTCGCAGCCCGATTCGTAACCACTACCCTACCAGAGAACAAAACAAAACACCAAATCCACTGCCACTGAGTTGATGAGTCTGACTCACAGTAACCCTAGCCAGGGTTTCTGAAACTATACATCTTTATGGGCGCAGAATGCCTCATCTTTGTCCCGTTGAGCGGCTGGTGGGTTTGAACCTCCTATTAGTTGCCCAGTGCCTGACCCACACACCACCAAGGTCCCTGGCACACACAGTGGTTGTGGTGTGCAGTGAAGTGGATTCTGACTCATAGTGACCCTGTACAGGGTTTCCGAGGCTATAAATCTTTATGGGAGCAGAAAGCCTCATCTTTTTCCTGCGTTGGTAGTTTCGAACTGCTGACCTTGATGTTAGCAGCCCGACTCGTAACCACTGCTCTACCAGAGCTCCTCGGGCACACAGCTGTTGTTAAGTACCGTGGAGTGGTTCTGACTCACACTGACCCGAGGCTGCCAATCTTTATGGGCGCAGAGAGCCTCATTTTTCTCCAGCGGAACAGCTGGTAGTTTCATAACCACTACGCTACCACTGGCACACAGTTGTTGTTAAGTGCCATGGAGTCAGATCCGACCGTAGCAACCCTATTCAGGGTTTCCGAGGAGCGACTGGTGAGCGTGAACCGCCGATCATACAGTTCAAACGGCTTTGCATCTGGCGCATTAACCCACAGCGTCATACGAGGACTCCACAGTAGGTCCAAATAAATAAACACTAGCTCTTTTCCCTGGGAGCGCGGTGGCTCGGTGGCTCCGTAGGATAAGCCTCGGAAGGCGACGGTTCGAGTCCACCATCCGCTCCGCGGGAGGAAACCGAGGCTTCTGCTCCCATAAAGATGTACAGCCTCGGAAACCCTATGCAAGGCCGCTAGGAGCAGAAACCGACTGGACGGCACTTAACAACAGCTCCTTTCCCTAGGAGCTGTGTTCCTCGGGAGAGCAAAAACGGTTTGATGGGCGAGTTCAAGCCGACCAAAAGCTAAGGACCCCAAAACACTTGAAGACTAAATAAGACAAGAAAGGAACTGTAATACCATCGCCCAGCGTTTGCATCAGGGGTCTCCATTTTACTGGAGAAGCTACTGCGGTTCAGTGGAGGATGAGGCGGGAGGCAACAAAAAACAGTAACTTCAACTCCCAGCTTCACAGATTCACCCCACTACACGAACCCCGACCTCAGCTTTTGGGCCCCTGGAGAAGACCGGGCAAAGCCAGGCGCTCTTCCCAGAAGGCACTGCGACACCGGGGAGAACTCTGGGATACAAGTGGATAAACAAATCCAAAGCAGCCGAGACGCGCCGTCCTAAGTCCACCGAGTGCCTCCCTCTGCCCTGTGCTTACCTTTCCTGGTGCTCCCGCTGTCGGCGGCCTCACTAACTCCCGCAAAGGCTGGGAACAGCGCCATGATTACAGGCCTCACTGCCGTTCCCCTCTACTGAAATGGCTCACGCGAGAGAGCGCAGGCCGTAAGGCCTCTGTCCTCGCGGTGCGCTCTGGGAAGTGTAGTTTCCTGGGCGGGACCCGGGTGCACTGAAAGCCGGAAAATGCGGGGACTGGAGAAGGAGTTGTGTGGAGCAGAAAGGTCCTAACAATTAATGCAGGAATCCCAACCCGACCCCTTGATCTATCCTTACTTACAAACTGGGTCGAATCCAACTTAATAAGCTTCAGGTTTTTTATCTGTCAAAAGCTGAGAAGGTTAACTGATCTGAAGTCCTTAGCACGGTGCCTGGCATATAGAAAGCGCCTAATAAAAATCATCCTGCGAGTTTGTGACTGCAAGTCTGACTCTAAGTGTCGCAGAATATCCAAACTTCTCTCTGACTACCACTTTAAATAAAGTAATGCAAAGCATTCCTTTAAATAAAAGGAATGCAAAATAGTGCAAGATCTGTCCCATCAAGTTCAAAGGTCTTTTGCTAGCTAGAAAGTACATTTACTGCCTGTGAAGTATTCTTGACTGTAATAATAATAATTGAATCTGCATCTTATCAGAAATGTAGAAACAGCAGAGCAATCAAAAGACATCATACCTCGTGTTGTTATTAAGTACCGTCAAGTCCGTTCGATGCATAGCAATCCTTTATCGTGTTTCCGAGTAGTGGCTAGTGGGTTTGAACCGCTGACCTTTTGGTTAGCAGTCCAGTGCTTATCCTACAGCACCACACCAGGAATCTTTCACGTGGACGCAGTCAAATCCAGAGTGTGGGAAATTATAAATGGCCTGGTTTCTTCAACATATCAATGGTTTTAAGATCAGGAGATTGCTGTAGGTTTAAAAAATGTACGGACTTATCAATCAAGTGCAGTGTATGGCCTCATCATGATTCTGATGGGACAAATTATAAAAAGACCTTTTTGAGACAGACGGAAAAATAGGAAGGTGGTCAGAGTATTAGATGATACATTAAAATTGTTAATTTTCTTAAATGAACTAATAATACATTAATGACACTAAGGCTACTTAAAAAAATTTCTTAGAGATACATTCTAAAGTATTTACAGATTAAAATAGATACATAAATGAAATACATTTCTTAGATCTCAGAAGTTAAAACAACGTTAAAGTTAAATTGGAAATACCACCCAACCCACTGAGATCAAGTTGATTACGATTCAATAGCGCCTCTCCAGGGCAGAGTAGAATTAGATCTTTATGGGAGCAGAAAGCCTCATCCTTTCTTCTGGTAAGTGGCTGGTGGATTTATAATTTCCCACACTCTGGATGTGACTGCTTCCACGTAAAAGATTCCTGGTGTGGTGCTGTAGGATAAGCACTGGACTGCTAGGCAAAAGGTCAGCGGTTGAACTACCCACCTTGAGTTAAAAACTCAATGCTTAACACACTATACCAGCAGGAATTCTAATAGGAAATCCATTGTTGTTGTTAATTGCCGTCGAATCGGTTCTGACTCATAGTGACCCTGTTTAGGACTTTCGAGGAGCAGCTGGTGGATTTGAACTGCTGACCTTGTGGTTTGCAGTCCAGTGCTGATCCACAGGGCCACACTAGAAGTCCAGGAAATACATTGTTGTTGTTGTTGTTGTTATGTGCCGTAGAATCAGTTCCGACTCATAGCAACCCTGTACAGGGTTTCCAAGGCTGTAAATCTTTACAGGAGCAGAAAGCCTCATGTTTCTTCCGCGAAACAGCTGGTAGTTTCCAACCGCTGACCATGAAGTTAGCAGCCCAATTCGTAACCATTACGCTACCAGAGCTCCTTAATTAGGGTGTATAAGCCCGAAATCTGCACCACCACTCAAGCTTTAAAGGCCCCCATAAACCCTGGTGGTGGAACAGTTAAGAGTTCAGCAGTTAACCATAAGGTTAGTGGTTCAAACCTACCCACAACTCTATGGAAGAAAGATTTGGCAACCTGCTTCCTGAGGCAGTTCTACTCTGTCACGTGGACTGACAGATTTTCAGTAGACTTGGCCCAGGATCGGACACTGTTTCATTCTCCTGTGCATAAGATCGCTATGAGTCGGTACCAACTCCATGGCACCTAACAACAATGACAACAACAACTATTACTGAAAATCAACTCCACAGCGGTGCCTGACACCAGCTACGGTGGGGAAAAGAACTGGTGATCGCCAGTTCTACCCTGCAACACATGGGTCTCCAAGAATCAGAATCAACTTAGCGGCCATGAGTAGGTTGTACCTGGAGTCCCTGAGTGGTGCAAACGGTTAGTGTGCTTGGACCAAAAAATTGGAGGTTCAAGTCCATCCAAAGGTTCTTGGAAGAAAGCCCTCGCAATCCACTTCTGAAAACTTAGTCATTGAAAACCAACTCCTAATTTTCAGGAAATGAAGAATGCAGAGGAACATTAAAAACAACCATAAAACCAAAAGCCTACTGCCATGACATCAGTTCTGACTTCGAGTGACCCTGCATAGGGTTTCTGAGGCTATAAATCTTTACAGGAGCTAAAAGTCTCATCTCTCTTCTGAGGAGCGGCTGGTGGGCTTGAACTGCCAACTTTGGGATTAGCATTCTGGAGCTTATTCTACAGTTGTATCAGAGCTGTTCAACACCACTATGGAGGATGTTTAAAAATCAGCAAAACTCTGACTGGGGAAACCATATAGAACAAACAACATGGCTTCTTCAGCAAATAAAGTGGAAGGGCAAACATAAAAGCAAAGAAGGACTTACTCGTTGAAGGAGATGCGACTTGAGAGGCATACTGCACGTAATTTGGATTGTGATTCAATCAAAGATAGAAGGAAGATGACGATATTGATGAACAGGTGAGGGAAACCCTCAATGAACTGAAACATATTCAAGATCATGAAGATAGTGTAGGGTCAGGCACAGTTCCTTTTGTTATTCGTGAGATCAGTGTGAGTCAGAACTACTGTGGCAGCAGCTAACTATGTGACCTGTTGAAAAATTTAACATTGACTGGAAATATGATCAAATTAAGGAAGTATTATTATTATTAAAATTTTGTAAGCATGGTGATAATAGTGCTGTGATTATATATATATATTGAGATCCTTATCTTTTAGGGAGGTCCTAGATGGTGTGAATGGTTAATGCACTTGGCTGCTAACTAAAAAGTTGGAGATTTAAGGCCCCCCAGTGGCTTCTGGTGTGGCACTGTGGGTTAATGTGCCAGACTGCAAAGCTGTTTGAACTGCAAGGTTGGTGATTCAAACTCACCAGCTGCTCCTCGGAAACCCTATCCAGGGTCTCTATGGGTCGGAACCGACTCAATGGAACTTAACAACAACAACAAGTGGCTCATCAGGAGAAAGATCTGGCGATCTACTTCTGAAAAATCAGTCACTGAAAAGACAGAAACTGGTTATCTTTAAGCATACACACTGAAATACTTCAAGTGAAATGGTTTGGTACCCAGGATGCAGTGGATGGAGGCGCAGGGAAATAAGATTGGCTTTCAGTTGTTCACTATTGAAACTGGGTCATTTGTACATCGGAGTTCATGGACTGTTTTGTCCCTTTTATTAAATTTGTTGAAACGTTCCATAATACACAATTTAAAACTAGAAATGAAAAAGGCTATTTAAAAAACAACAAACATAAGAATAAAAATAAACAAAGGCCAGATTCACACAACATGAATAAAATTCAAAATTGGTATGCTGGGTATACGTAACAAGACTTTGAAAAGTACTTACTGTGTGATTATGAAAGAGCCCTGGTGGCGCTGTGGGACAAGCACTGGACTGCTAACTCCAAGATTGGGGGGTTCAAACCCACCAATTGCTCTGTGAGAGAAAGCTGAGGCTTTCTGCTTCCGTAAAGATTTACAGCTATGAGTTAGAAGCAACTCGGTGGTAGTGGGTTTGGTTTATTCTACTTCTATCAAACTTTTTAAAGTGTTGAAGAGCAGAGATGTCAGCTTGAGGACTAAGGTGTGCCTGACCCAAGCCATGGTATTTTCAATAACCTCATATGGATGCTAAAGCTGGATGGTGAATAAGGAAGATTGTAGAAGAATTGATGCCTTTGAATTGTGGTGTTGGAGGAGAATGCTGAAAGTGCCATGGACTGCCAAAAGAACCAATAGATCTGTTTTGGAAGAAGTGCAGCCAGAGTGCTCCTTGGAGGCTAGGATGGCTAAGCTTCGTCTCTCATAGTTTGGACGTATTGTCAGGAGGGAACAGTCGCTGGAGAAGGATGTCATGCTGGTTAAGATGGAGGGTCAGAGAAAAAGAGGAAGACCCCCAACGAGATGGATCGGCCAGATGGCATCATTGATGGCATCGAGTGTGGTGGCGGTAGTTAGATTGGCTGAGGATTAGACATTGTTTCGTTCTGCTGTGCATGGGGTTGCTATGAGTTGGTTCCGACTTGATGGCACCTGACAACAACAACAACAACACTTCTATCAAGTTCTAGAAAAAGCTGATTAACAGTGAAAGAAAGCGGATCAGTGACTGCCTGCTTCCAGGAGATGTTCCGCAGAAGGGCACAGGTAATCTTTTTGAGTGATGGAAATTTTCTGTATCCTGGTATGGGATGTGAACACTAGATTTTGCGGGTCAGACAGCCTGTGTCATTTGATCAGAAAAGCAACCTACACAATAAATACATAAAAGGGGGGTGTGTGTCTTCCAAAAAACTTTATTTACAAAAACATTTGTGAAACCACTTGATGTTTCCGAAGCTTAAGACCAAACTAGGGAGGCAGAGATGCTGACGTGGAGAGATGGAGCAGCTGGGGACTTCAGACCCAGAGAGGGAGAGAGGCTGTGTGCTGATGACCAGGGGGCAGGCTTGTAGGGTATACCCTTTGGTTGGTTGATGATGCATGGAGGGGATTATAACCATGGCAATGAAACGATATATGATAGAATGAATGTAAAGCTAATGTTCTCCCATGTAAACTATCACATAATTCACAATAAAACATTAAAATAATAATAATA